TGGCGCCACGTAGCGAAAAGAAGAAACGACTGGCGCGCTGTTGTTAACTCGGCTATAATCGCGTAAGCGGTGTCTACGCCAATTAAGAAGAAGATATATTTTTTAAATTTAAGTGAATACGCTAATTATTACAAAATATTAAAAAAACTTAATAAATGTTAATATCAAAAAACGCAATATATGTATATAAACGATATTTATTAAATGGCAATGCCATAATTTATTTGTAAACACTAAAAGTTTGAATAGCACTGCATGTTGAACTGAAATCATGCATTACAAAGATTAGTCATCAGCTGTATAATTTGGGAGGATATCAAAATATTTACAAAAAGCGAATTATTTTAAATAATTTGCAACAATTGTAGTAATCTTATCTTATAGTTAAACCAAAACAAATATTAAAATGAATCGTCTGTTTGGAAAAGGTAAGCCAAAGGAGCCAGCACCAAATCTGAACGATTGTATTGCCGGGGTAAGTTTTCACAATGCACAACAAAAGAAATGTTTTGTTCCAAATAAAAAAGTATTTGTGATTGTAAATCGTACCTTTTGAAGGTTGATACTCGTGCGAGTAACATTGAAGAGAAGATTACAAAGCTGGATAATGAATTGCGTAAATATCGTGAACAAATGTCGAAAATGCGCGAAGGACCGGCTAAAAACTCCGTAAAACAGCGAGCTATGCGTGTGCTGAAGCAGAAAAAGGCGTAGGCGCTCCGATAAGTTATAAAAGACATTTGCATTTACTTTGATTTTAATTGTAGTTATGAACAGCAAGTTGAAGCACTTCGTAATCAGTCATTCAATATGGAACAGGCTAACTATGCTGCACAATCGCTAAAAGACACACAAGCTACTGTAGCTGCAATGAAGGATGGTGTCAAACAAATGCAGAAAGAATTCAAGAAAGTCAATATCGATCAAATTGAGGTGGGTACGGTTTGGTATGCACGTCCACAATTAATTGATAATAATTTTTTTGGAATATGACATAGGATATCCAAGACGATATGGCCGATATGCTGGAGCAAGCAGATGAAGTACAAGAAGCTTTAGGTCGTACATATGGCATGCCAGAAGTTGACGATGACGAACTGCAAGCTGAATTGGATGCACTAGGCGATGAAATAGCACTCGATGATGATACCAGCTACTTGGATGACATGGTAAAAGCACCATCAGCTCCCGATAAGGAACCGGGTGCCGACAGTATCGTACCCGGCAGTAAAGTATGTATAAAGATTGGTATAGTGAAGAAGAATTTTATATAAAACATGTTTACAGAGTGGAATTGAAACTGACGAGTTTGGCTTGCCTAAAGTGCCCACTTCGGTTAAAACGTCTTAAATACATTTTCTTCTGTTTGCGTCTCTAGGAAGATGTCAAAAAAGTAACGGAAATTAAGAGAATTTAAAAGCTGTAATAATTGAAATGGATTCTTTTCATGTGTACTTTCTTGTAAACTTTTTATTTTTAGAATCATCATTAAATAAGCTTCAAACATAAAAACCAAGTTGCTATTCGCTCCGTGTTTATATTTCATTGAGCCCGTCACTTCAATTGGTAACTAATATTTTTTCTGAATCTGATAATACAAACATTCGTTTTAGTCTACACAACACCATTTTAATTAAAAGCAATGATCTCCAGCGTCTTCTGATGTTTTATTTATCAAATTTTATATACTTCTATTATTGGTAATTTTTTAACAAAATCGTGTAATTTGAAATTTTAGTATCTTGAGTATAAATGTATATTAACAAGAGAATATTTAGCAATGCTACTTGGCACAGTTGCATTTAAAAGTATGGCAATATTTATGTGCATTATTTCGTTGACCTATGTAATTAATTGTGAAATTACAGAGAAACATACATTTAAATAATTGGGCATAATACTTTCACTTACAATATACACACATACACTTAATTATTTCATAAAACTTAAACGAAAAACAAACAAACAGTGCGTTACAGTAATTCTATTGCCATTGGTATTTTACTTTAAATGTTTGCGCGCTAAATGTTTTAAAAATTGCAAAGGTTTTATTGTCAATTGAAACCAATGAAGTCTTTAGAATTGAAAATTTTTATAAACATTTTTAAATTTCGGAAGCAAAAGTTTAATTAGTACAAAGACATCGTCAAAAAAGTGTAAAAAGTTGGCTAGAAGCTTTGCAGACTAACGGTTGTGAAAAAACATTTAGTGTGCAATTATATAGATTAATTATTTAGAGGAAATTTAAAAAATTAAAATTCAATATACCTTGGTTTAATATGGGATACACGCCACATAGTGACATCATCTTTTGTTTGCGCATATTATTAAAAAAAATATATATAAAATAAAAGGTAAATTTAAATAATAATTATTGTGCAAAAGACATAGATTTTTAATTACATTACAATATTTATAAATATATAGTCGTATATATATAATATAGTGTGTTGCTATTTCAGTTTTTAAGTACTTTACAGAGGATCGATTAATTGAACTACATATATAGATGGCTGGAAAATCACAATTATTATCCTTAAATACACCACAAATCAATAAACCCGAATTTGTTTTTTGTTTTACAATTGTATATAATTATACATATATATGCTTATACTAAATATCTGGCCAGTAAACTCGCATTTAACTTTTTATAAAAATTAGAGTAAATAAATAAAGAATTCAGTGAATTCCCAAACTATAAATTTAAAAAGGCGGACACGAAATTTTACTAAGTCGGCATTTTATCAATTTTTTATCAAGATATGTTTCCATGTATTTAAAAAATTTTTTTTATTATTTTATGAATAGAACTTTCAGTTTACAACAAATGACAGACTTTGTTAAACAATGACAGACTTTAGCTTAATCCATAAGTATAATTTGGTAAACTTTAGTAAAATCTTGAATTATATTAAAACTATTATTGCCTACTCGTGTAATGGGACTTACTTAAATTTGATTAGGGTCCACACTGCTCCCTGTATAAACAATTAAAATAACATACTGATATTGCTTTTGTATATGGACTATTTCTTCGCTTACTTTACTTAATTTGTGCGAAAAGTTTTGGAGTAGGTTGCATATAATGCGGTTAAAAGAAATTTAAAATAACTTTAAAATCATCTGTAGCTTTCGAAAACTTATGAATATACAATAACTTCTTATATATACATATACATATGTACACGTGTATATTAGTGCGCACTTTTTCTTCAACTTAATCTAATGCGAAGCACATTCTTAACGGTGGTGCAAATGTGAAAACAAAACAAAACACAAATTAAAAATAACTAAAGAACATTAAAATACGACAATAATCGAAATATAAATATAACATTCGCAATGACAGTCTCATTTTCCATATACTCAAACACAGCCGATTTGCTTATGCAAGCGTTTATTCATATACTTAGCAGGAGGTGCGCAATACAAGCTTGTATTGGTCACATATAAATAGGCATCCAACATACTCTCATCTTTCACTTCATGTTGTGAGATGCTGCCACGAAAACTGCACCAGTCTCTGGCACGTGTATAACTAAATAGTGCATTGTGACGACGGGGCAGGTGAATTTTTTCAGCGCATATGCCTGTTAAGTAGACATCTTCGATGTGTATGAAGGTGGTATTCAGAGCGGCTTGGTATAATCGTGGTACCACATCGGCAGACATCACATATGCGGAGCCGCTCAAGTATTTTGGATATTTATCGCCCGGAAACATGTAGTAGGGCATATACCATTTATTGCTAACCAACGACACTGGTCGTGAGGAACAAAATAAATGTCCTCCCAGGTAATTTCTTGTAATGTTGAAGCGATTTCGTGGTAATAATACATGGTATGTGTGTGTGTCATACAAATCCAAAGTATCGTTGTAGAGCGGTATTGTGCCACCTAGTAGGTAGTGTAAAAGATTTGGCACATTTAAGAAAGTATCATCATCCACTTTCATAAAGAATGCCGAACGCTGTGCGCAACGTTGAGTCATCCATTTTAGAGCAAGCACTGATTTGAGGGTCAAATTGTTATAGGTATCGATGAAATTTTCTTGTATAATATCGCCGTATTGTTCGGACTCTGAGCGTATAAGTGACGATGTTTCATTTGACGGATCAGAATTGGGTCCATGGCGACCCAACATAAAGTAAACTTTTACCGGTATCACAACAGGAATAGTACGTGTGTCCTGAAAATTTCAATGAACGAAACAATGAGCAAAGTAAAAGTATGTTATTATTTCTCACTTTAAGTGTACTTACATTTGTTGACAGATTTAGGAATTCGCTATAGTATTGTAAGCGTTGGGGCGACGGTTCTAAGTATTGACCTTCAAAACGCTTATGTAGTTTCGCAAACATGCCAATATTGAAGTGTGATGTGTTGCCCCATGTTTCACGTATGACTTGTCTGGAGTAATTATTTTTATATTAATATATATTTAGGGACATGAGTATGTATATATATTTATGTATATCAAACCTTATGGCAAAGTTCTGTATACTTGAACAAACAACAACAAGTAGAAACAACTTATTTTGACACACAAGCTGAGGTTCTAAAATCACTGTGTTGTTATCAGGTAACACATAATCAGCTAAATTCCTGGACGTATTGTAGCCCCAATCTGGTAGTGCAGCTGTAATAAATGTAAGCAAATATTAAAAATATATATTATACTATACTTTGAAATTCTATAGGGAATAATGCATGTTTTGTATTTCATTTATAATATACACTAATACTTACTGTGTCGTGTGTGCATGTTCGGAATAAGTGGCATGTAGAATGACATTAACATTAAAAGTAATATCATTGTACAACATATTATACGTATTACAGCCCGTTTCCGCCAACGCAATCCCGACATCATTATTTGAATGAAGGAAAACTCGTGCTTCCCATAATACTGCTGCGATGTCCTCTTATACTCCAGCTCCTCATCACTACAATCCATATCACTATTACCAACCTCTACTGATTCCAAGTCAGCTGAGGAATATATATCCGTGATGTCGCGCTTGCGATGACTCCTTTGCGGCAGTAGTAAATACTTTTCACGTTGACCCGGAACCATTTTGCGTGCAATAAACCTTTGCTATCAGCATATTCTATCTAAAGTGCATTAATTGGGCCTAAAGCGACCTTAATTAGTGTAGCTGTTATTTTTTAAGCCTGCGTAGAGTAAATGATGCATGCAACACCTGTTTCCTTTGTCGACCGGTTTAGTACTACATTGATCACGAGTATTTCGAGTAAACCCTTCAAATTCTATTTTATTACATTTGTAGGTAGGTACGTATGTATTTAGGAAGACAAGTACCCAGCACAGTATCACTTACTATTTTACAGTAGATAAAGAGACATTAATCGATGTAATTTCAAATATCACCATGTTAATAAAATGATTAATTTCAAGCTGATAAACAATTTTATAGCAACTACAGCAAAGTAATTTACCAACAAATCTGCAAACAAATAATTGATTGAATTGACCGCATAACAGCTGTCGGCCAGAGATGCCGATTCTGAATATTTACTGGCAGCTTATTCACTTTTTCTGTAAGCCATCCTCTCTCCATTTTGAAATTGAAATATCATATATTAGTACTATATAAAAATCCATATCTATTTACTAATTTAATATTTTTTTGCCAAAAATGACGAGGCTTATATATCAGCCAAGTATATAACCATACTTTATGTGTCTGCAAAGTAATCGGTTACGAATTGGTACTTTCATAATCTTATGATATTGGCGACCCTATTCTCAGCACAAAACAAAAAAGCAAATAAATTATTGGTAAATTGTATTCTAAAAGTGGTTTGGGTTTTCTTGTTGTGGCTCCGGTTTTAATTTAGATTTTGTGTATTAACATTTGTAAATTTTTGTGAACTAAATCCCGAAAAGATTTTTGCAACGAATAGGCGGACTATTTTTGTGTGGATAAGTTACATCTAATGACCACCTAATTTTATGTAAATTCAATCGAATAAATTCTGACACGCAGTACAAATGCACCAACCTATAATCTATGCGTTGTAGAGTGGGCATACATGTAAGAAGGCAGAAAGTTACTGACGTGTCGCTGTGATCGATTTAAAAAAATAACTAATGTAAATATTGTAGGTTATTGGAAGTGTTGACAATTTTAATCACAATAAACATTCTTTTAGAAATATGACTGTGCGCCGTCGACAGGAATCAAATGGGATGTCGGCTGATGAAAGTGACAAGCAGAAATTGCTGGTCGAAACGCCACCATCGGACTGTTCATCGAATGTGAATGATGAATTTCATGACAAAACAGATATACGCGGTGATCGCGGAAATATTGCCATACTTTTCTTCCTCTACGTAATGCAAGGTATACCATTGGGTCTGATTGCGGCCGTTCCCATGCTTTTGCAGAATCGTGGAGCTAGTTATAAACAGCAAGCCGAATTTTCCTTCGCATATTGGCCTTTTAGTATGAAACTTTTATGGGCGCCAATTGTTGATTCCATCTACTTTCGTCGATTTGGAAGGCGAAAATCATGGTTGGTTCCATCGCAATATCTAATTGGTATTTTTATGCTTTTCCTCTCATGGCAAGTAGAACGATGGTTAGGTGGTAATGGGTCCGATCCCAATGTACCATTCTTAACCATGCTGTTCTTTTTACTTAACTTTTTGGCCGCTACACAAGATATTGCTGTAGATGGTTGGGCGCTTACTATGTTGAAGCGATGCAACGTTGGTTATGCGTCGACATGCAATAGTGTGGGCCAAACCGCTGGCTACTTTCTAGGCTATGTGGTCTTTATAGCGCTGGAATCAAAAGACTTTTGCAACAACTATTTACGTACAGAACCGTTGGATACAGGACTTGTGACATTGCCTGAATTTTTATGGTTCTGGGGAGTTTGTTTCATGGTAGTGACGACTTTAGTGGCGATCTTTAAAAAGGAGAATGATGTACAGGATGCACATACGGCGGCACGTTACACCGATGAACACGAGTTGAATCTACGCGAGAGCTACAAAATTCTTTTTGACATGGTGCGCATGCGCCCTATACAAATTCTAGCCGCTATATTGCTAACAGTCAAAGTTACTTTTGCCGCCTGTGATGCAGTCACATCATTAAAATTAATCGATGCTGGTGTCCCAAAAGAGAAGTTGGCGCTACTGGTTGTACCCATAATCCCATTGCAAATAGTGTTGCCACTAATCGTCAGCCGTTATACCCATGGACCACGCCCAATGGAGATATACGTGAAAGCTATACCATATCGAATTGTCTTTAGTACCATAGCTGCCATCATTACTTATTGCACACCTTTTATGATATCGAACGGTCATGTACCCATCTACTACTACGTGCTCTTAATTGTTAATTACGCATTGTACCAGGTGTTCCTCTACTGCATGTTTGTTGCTGTAATGGCATTTTTCGCGAAAATTTCCGATCCTGCAGTAGGTGGCACATACATGACATTCCTCAACACACTGTCGAATCTGGGAGGAAACTGGCCAAACACTGTGGTGTTGTGGTTGGTGGATGTACTAACATGGCAAGAGTGTACCCATGTAGACCCAAAAGTGGCAGCACAAAATAGTTGTCTGACTAAAACACAAAAATCGGTAAGTCTATTTGAAATATAATTTCATGTCATAAATAATAAATGCTGTTTGAATAGGAATGCGAAGCCGCTGGTGGTGAATGTAAAATTGTCTTCGACGGCTACTACATTGAATCGATTATATGTATAGTATACGGCATTGTGTGGTTGTTGTGTGTGCGGCGTTGGATAAACTACTTGCAAAATTTGCCAACGCGAAGTTGGTTGGTCGTTAAAAAGGGAAAGAGTGCTGGCAGTGCCAAAAAGTCAAGATAGCAATTCATTGTATGACATGAGGATAATGATGGTCACACCCACCTATTGGATGACTTTAAGGTTGACGCGGTGGAAGAGTTGGGGGTGTACACTAAATCTGTGCGGAATACACATGCTTCGCCGATTTAAAACACAATTTGTTATGTCCTTTAGTATAGAATTAACATAATACAATATTTGTTTGAAAATTCCAAAAATATGCTTTTATATGTATGTGAAAATATAGTGCAATTGAATTTTAGTTTTAAGGTATGTATTTGCTTAACCAGTGGTTTAATACAACAACAATCGACTAGCTTTCAAAAAGTTGTTGCAATCCATGGCACAAACTGTGTGAGAGTATTAGAATATAGAGAATTGTCTAAATTGATGTTTGTCTTGTCTTAATATTACTTTAAAAAAATACCGCAAACTTGTATTTATAAAAAAAGAAAACTCCTACATAAGTTATTTGTAATCATTTTGGAGAATTGAAAAAAATAACACTCAAATTTGCAGCCCGAATAATAGATGTTGTTTTATTCTAGTCTTTTGGTTCTTTGCGTGATACATACAAAAATTTATATTAAACATTTTCTATGCCGTATTAAATATTACTCCTTCCGAACACTAGCAAGCAAATTCAACCCCTTAGTACGTAATTGTAATTCGTTTGTGTTACACTTTACAGACTACTTTTTTTTTATATTCAATAATATTTCCATGAATCGGCCGATTCGGGGTTCTTTTGCTTGCTTTTACGCTCGATTAACCCAGCCAAATGTTCTGAACGCATAGACAATGAATCAATTTTTTCTACCAGTTGCTGGTAAGGACTCAGAGGTTGAGTTCCCATAACAACGTGTCCCAATTTCGAGTCAATTTTGGCATTCAAACGAGCATTGCGAATTAAGTTGACAATCCAGCATTCAGCTTCGCTAGGTTTCATGTTCAGCTTGTCAGCGAGCATACTAATTGTGATGCACTGATGAATACGGCAGAAAGTTTCGAAGATCATTAGACGAGCGTCCTCGACGAATTCACTCAAACAGGCGACAATGAAGAAGTCATTCAAAATCACTGTTTGGCATTCGTGCAGTTTTAAGCGAGCACCTTCAAAGTCAAAGTTCACATAAAGACATTCGAGGAACTCTGTTATGGGATCACGATAGGTGTATGATTCTTGCTGTATCACCTTGATGAGGTCCTTGAGTGCGTTGCGACGCGTACGATTGATGATGACAGCAGTGGCCAAATACCGCATAATGTGTGGACACATTGTTTGTATAGCATTCAAATATAGGGGCTTATACAGGAACATATCAATAATAAGATCACGACCTTTGGGATGATTGAAGAATACCAACACTGACCAGTGGATCAACCAGGTGCGTTGTTGAAGTGCTTGTATTGTAGTAAAATTGGCATTGTCGATGTAGTCGCGCAAACGTGTCAAATCTTCCAATGCTGTGTTCCAATTTAAGGTCAGAATTTCGGCGGCCAATTTTCCCCACAATACATTTAGATAGTTCTATAATAAAAAAAAAAATATTTTATAGCAATATTCATAAATTTTTTATGAGAATATACCTTGTCGTTTGGTGACATCACAATCAAGCAGAAATATAAGTAAGACGTCGATTCTTGGTAGTTACCGCACTCATACAAATACTTAGCCAGCTTGTATGCACTTTCCAAATGTTCCACCTTAAAGTTGTAGTCCTTTTGCAGAGCATTAACAAAGGTTTTGGAATCTTTCATGCTCTCACCATTCTTAAGAATATCGGTAGCTTTCATAATCGGTGCTACTTCATTTTGCAATTGCTTCAGTGTAGCCAGCACCTCAGCCTTGCGTTGCACCAACTCTTCCGGCATTTCTTGACTAAGGTTCAACCGTTTACGTGTATCCATGGTGTAATCAATCATGTTGGTTTTGTTGACCGTATCAAGGATGTATTCCAACAATTCTTGTTGATTATATATCTAAAACAGTAGAATTAATAAATATTAAAAAAAATATATATATACAGAAAATGATTACAAAGCGAATGAAATATTTCTAACCTCCTTTCCACACAAGAATTCCAATAACGGGAAAGTAAGATGCCTGTCCAAAAATTGACAATTTATTCTTGTTAAATCGAATTGCGCCATTCTGAAAATTAGTTTTGCACTGTTTGAAGAATATTTTCAAATGTTTCACGATAGTTTGGCGTACAAATAACGTGCTGACAAAGCTCAGACGTCGCCTATTCTTTGCGAAGAGCAGGTAAAAAGAAATATACAATGACAATGTAGAGTGACATCTAGTGGGAAATTTGTATTGAATAGGGATGCTAACCCTCAATAACGTTGGCTACAAATTTTAAGATAAAATCATCACCGATGAATATGTGCAATGTCGATATATAAGTCGATATACAACGGAAGTTATTCTAAATAATTTGTTTTAACTGATATAAATAGTAAATGTTTTTATGGTAATAATGTATAATTCACTTTATGAGAGATATTTTTATTTCACAAAAATATTTTATTTGTACATCTTAGTTTGCATACATAGTTTATCACATTAAACAAGAAGTCTTTCAATTTCGTGCTGAATTGATTGGATTTGCGATTTTAGCTGTGAGCCATCATTTGTTGTAACCGAGCACGCTACAATTGGTCTAGATACACCACATGCACGTCCCAATGCCTGCTTGGAACGTACAAATACATAGGGAACATTCTTGTCTTCACACAATAAGGGCAAATGTAAAAGGATTTCGATTGGTTCTGTGTCAGCAGCCATTACAATAATATCGGAAAGACCTCGATTAAGGGTCTTGGTGGCTTCGTTGGCTCCCTTGCGTAGTTGATTATAGTTTAGCGCTTGCTGCAACAAGTTCATGATTTTCGCCGTGAGTTGAGCATCAGCAAGCGGGAATGCTTTTGGACTGACTTCTTCGGTCTGAAATTTATATTCTTTGTGTAATATATCTGCAAACACTATCTGAATTTAAAACTCACCATTTTGATATAGATTAGGTTTAATATTAGTTATAAATTTAAAAACTCCAACGCAACCTCTCGGCTAGATGTTTAACTTGGCTTCACGGAGGGCAATAGAATAGTAAATAATTTGACAAAGGGAACAAGAAGAAATGAGCAGATAAAAACACGTGTATGGTTGCCAACCACCCTTTTACAAATGGTAGTTATAACACTGAGTCCCTATTCGACATAATACGACTTATAAGACTAATATTATTAAATCTTTCAGAATTTGTTTCTGTTAATAAAATATGTAACTATATGTTAGAAGAATTATTTTGATTTGTATTTAAAATTAACATTAATTTAAAATTAACATTTTAAAATTTTGGAGTTCGAACTAGTGAATAGGATAGTCTGGCAAGGGATCTATTTACTATTTGAATCCATGGTGTTTTTGTTTATTCCTTATATACTATTTGAAAACTATTCCTTGTCCAGGTGAATTTCACAATATTGTATAGTTTAAATTCACTTTTCTTTCTTGTTAAATGTAAAAATGAGAAGGTCTTGTGCACCTTCAATGCTTAAAGAGCGAGAAATTGAAAAACGTAGAAAAATTGATAAACTATTTGAAAAAGAAGGAGACACAGATGATAAAGTAAGTTCAACCAGTCTGAGTGAGCAAAGTTGGGGCACATCGAGGAATAGAAGCACTCAATCTGAAGAGCAAACATCCAAAGAAAATAATGATACTTTTAATTCAAAACTTATTTTCAATGTGGTCTGGCGTGAAATGACGAAAAAGAAGCATAAAACATGGGACGGAGATGGCTTTCTAGAAGTGCAACTGAACCCACCACGAGTTGTACTTAAGGATAGCACCGGGAKGTATATGGGTACTAATACAAAGTTTGAGATTAATAACTTGGAAGAAGGATATGAAATGGTTGTAGGAGGCAGAGAGATTGAATTGCTGGAACAAATAACCGATGGTGGCCAATATTTTGCTATAAGAAAACAGTATGCAGAGAATCGTTGGAATTCTGAGGAGAAAATACAAAGTAAGGTAGCGAGTAAAAAGGGTAAGATAACTACACTTTTACAAACCCCATATAACCAGAAGCATGAAACATTGAATGTTCGAATTAATGAAACAAAAAACGTTCAGGATAATAAGTTAACGGAAAAATTGTCATTTAATGTCGTTTGGCGCGAAAAAACCACTAAGAAAAATAAGACTTGGAATGGAGATGGAGTATTTAATGTTTATTCAAACATTAAGAGAGGTGTACTTAACGATGAAAAAGGACAAGAGTTGGGTATAGAGGAAAACGTTAGCATGTCTGATTTGGTGACTGGAGCAATATTGTTAATAGGGGATAAGGAAATTGAGATATTAGAAGTGGCGACCAGCAATCAGACCCAGATATTAAATGAAGCAAAACCAAAAATATTCACAAGCCGTGAAAATAGGCAAAACACAAAGACAGACGGCTTCATTTTGCCATCTCCTCCTGAAAATTATATTGGTATCTTAAATCCTACAAATCTACCTATACATGCAGTAGAGGTGTCATATAGACTTATGCAACTTTTACGTCCACATCAAAAAGATGGCGTATCATTTCTTTATAAATGCGTCATGGGTTTTCAGAATCCAAAATATAGAGGCTGCATTCTTGCCGATGAAATGGGTTTGGGAAAAACTCTGCAATGCCTCACTCTAGCGCATACATTATTGAAACGAGGACCTTATGGTGGTGAAAGAATGTTACATCGAGTTCTTATTGCCGCTCCCAGTAGTCTTACACGAAACTGGGAAAATGAAGTAAATATATGGTTGAAATGTGAACGTATGTATGCTTTTGTAGTAGGAGGAAAGAATAAGTTGTGTTCCTATTCCAAGCAACAACATGTTCCATTTGTAATTGCTTCGTATGAATTTCTGCTTTCAAATGTAGCTGAATTCCAGTGCTTAAAATTTGACATGCTAATTTGTGATGAAGGTCACAGATTGAAAAATGAATCAACTAAAATAGTAGCTGCCCTCCGCGAGCTGGATATTCCACGTCGAGTAATAATCACTGGAACACCAGTGCAAAACGATTTGCGTGAATTCTACTCCCTAATAGAATTCGTAAATCCTGGCATATTGGGCAATTATGAAGAATTTCATTCACGTTTCGAGATTCCTTTGCAACAGAGCCAATGCCCCGAAGCTTCTATGGAAATAAAGAATTTAGCTGCTGAACGCAGCAGAGAACTTAAGCAGATCTCTGAGACATTTATGCTTCGACGATTACAGAACGTGAATAGGCAATACTTGCCGAAAAAGTATGAGTATATATGTTTTGTTCAACCATCGGAGCTTCAACAGGTTTTGTTGCAAAAAGCTCTTCATCTCTATACACAACGAAAGGAAACAATTTTAAAAGATTTAACGCCATTGCAAATAATTACTGTATTGAAAAAGATTTGCAACCATCCTTCCTTGGTGGCACGTACAAAAACACCAAATCTACTGACTCGCACTTTAGAACGCTGTTTGCCAGATTGTACGGAAATGGGACCCTTCGATTCAGCGAAACTAGAATTGGTGCAACACTTTCTTATTTCGTCAGCAATACAAAATGGGGAAAAGTGTGTGCTGGTTTCAAATCATACCAAAACGCTCAATATGCTACAAGGTTTATGTGATTTTCTGAATATAAAAAGCCTACGGCTAGATGGCTCCACCAGTGTAGGGGAAAGGAATGATAATGTCGAAAAGTTCAACAGCGATTCAGATGACTCTTTAGTGTTTTTACTTAGCGCAAAAGCTGGTGGGGTTGGTCTCAATTTGATAGGAGCATCCAGATTGATGCTTTTCGATAATGACTGGAATCCCGCTGTTGATGCGCAGGCAATATCACGTATATGGCGTGATGGTCAAACCAGGGATGTACACATCTATCGACTGGTAACTGCAGGTTGCATTGAGGAGAAAATATTTCAACGGCAGACAGCGAAGTTATCATTGGGAGATTGTGTAATACAAAATGCTGCAAATAATAATGAAAATATCATGAAGTTTACAGCTGAGGATCTTTCGAACTTATTCTGTTTGCAAGAGGATTATACTATATGTCAAACTCACGAAAATTTAAATTGCAATTGCAATGGTGATGGAGAGGTAGTAGTGTATGCTAATCTTTAAACTGTAATTATTCTAAAATCGATTTCACTTTACAGAACTTGACATTGGAAACAAAAACAAACAATCATAATATAAATGCGTTGACGAATTGGAAACATTACAAGGCACCTTTCGACACAAATTTCCTGGAGGTATTTCCATTTCAATATTGGTATATTTGTGTAATATATTAAACACTTATGAATATTTTCAGGCTGCTTGCCTCGAAAATGCAAGCGACAATCTCATGTTCATATTTGGCTCTCAGACTGAATAGCTTTAATATTTAATTTAATTTTAAGCTTGTATTATTTTGTTGAATCAATATTAGTTGCTTACTAATTATTGACTGTTACAATTTCATATAAGCTAATCCTCGCTCTCTAACGATATATTGCTGCCAAAACGTTGATAAAGATGTGATTTTAGTTCATTCATTTCGGCTTTGATTTCATTAGCTTTCACTTCAATTGCCGCAATTTCCTTTAATGTTTGTTCTTTAACCTCAGCTAATAATTCCTAATGAGGTAAATTAATATTTCTGTTAATTTATAATTTAAAAAATAATAAAAAAACAAATATTTATATAAGCTATACCTGCGTTTTTGTCAATTTGTGTGTGAGAAAAACTTCACCAAACAAAAATGGAATTTCTTCGTCTTCGTCGAAAAGCTCTATTTCATCCAGTGCCTCCTCGACACTCTTTAAATCGTTCTTTTTCATGTCCAACTCCATTTTGAGATCATCCATTCGAGCATTGTGCTTGGCGAAACGATTGATTTTTTGTTGGTCTTCAAATGAGATGTGCACATCGTCCTGTATAATCAGCAAAGCATTGTTTTTGTATAGTTCAATAAAAATGTGAGTAATTGGACCAATACTGCGGACGGGTGAGGTTAGTTTGTAACTGCAATTGCAGTTAATACTAACTTATATACGCTACCTACCGCTTGGAAGACTTTATTATTGCCTGATGAAACTTTCGCAGCCATTTTTGTATGATATTTATTTATTTATAGATGATTTTAAGGTAATTTTTTGCACACCTGCTTGCGCTAATAAACAATGAAGTGAATTCTGGCTAAATGTCAAATTTCTTTGGATGTGTTTAGTAAGCTTATTGTAAAAAGTTAGTGTTTAGAAAACGTGTGAAAATAAGTGACTACATTTTACTAGTAATTAATATTTAATTAAAGTTTTTATAAGCTACCAAGAACAACAAAAAAAAAAAAAAAAAAAAAAAAAAAAAAAAAGAAACCAGCACATTTGGAAAATATTTCAAAATAAATTGATACATTGTTTGCATAAATTATTGTTTTGGCAATATTTATTGTGAATCTTTAATCTGGCTTGTCGATAATGCAGTTCATAATGTTTTAAGTTCTCTGGATAGACGTTCTCTGTATTATATATATATTATAAGTTCTCTGTTGTTGAGAATAAATACATTTAAATTTAGAAAATATATTTAATTTTTTGCTTTTACATCCGGAATTTGTTGAATTTATATTTTTCTCCCTGTAAAATCTTTGTACACAGTCTCAAATACAAAAACAATTTTCCTTTCATGTAAAAATCCAGAATTGTGCACATGTATTAGTTAAAATTTCCGCACAACCGCATGACCTTAAGCAAATCGAATGCGGAACGAATTAAGCGCACACAAACAAATTTATGGGCATAAATAAATAAATAAATAAATATATTTAATTAAGTGCTGAAAAATTCATCCACAAACTGATTCATATACCCAGTAAGCCAAATCACATTATTATACCCACATATATATGTGTGTGATTATTTAGATCTCTTTGTGCGTTTCTTTCAATCTTAATAACAATCCATTATATGTAAATAATATCAATTTTTTAATATTGGCCGCTTGAAATGCATAAAAGCGCAAGCATACATGGCGTATGAGTAACACTATATACCAAAATGCCAAGGAATATGCATGGGTATGTATGCATGTACATACATACGAGTACAATAGGTTATTGTACTTCGCATAATTTTTAAGGAAATTAATATGCAAATAAAAGTGCACAAACATTTTCTGTTTCGGTTTATTGGGGAATAGCACGGTTCTGGGGAATCAAATTTGTGTTGAGAAATTTACGCGCGGAATAAACGCAATAAAATCAATTTACGCACACGTGGGAGGTCTTTGGTTGCCGGCCGGAAAGGAAATGGCAAGGTGCCTACGAAAAATGACGTGGTTGATATTTTGGCTTTTGGTTTCACTAGCGTACCAACATCATTTTTTTCTCACATACATATGTGTGTACGTATACATATGTATGAATAATTGCGCGAGTGTTTGCTTTGGTGTATGTACATATGTATGCATGTATGTATTTGGACATGCAATTAAAGAAAGAAGAACGTGACTCTGGTTTACACAAAGTGTAGTGTCGAATTTTTTATATCCACAAATACACAGTAAATACTTTTCTATGTATGTATGTAAATAAAGTTGTGGGTTTAAAGCGTTCATGACGTCATTGATGATCTTAAATTTAGTGTGTGATCACTTTAATTGTTCGCTGATCCGTGTTGTTTACATGTAGGATGTAAATGTGTTTGTGTGCGTGAACGCTGCGCCGTCTAATAGCCGCAGCTCTGCAACATTTTCATTGAGCAGAAATCTTCTCCACCGACGTCATTAACACCTCCAAAAGTGTTTTTCCCAATTGTCTGACGTTTGACGTTTGACGTCGGGCGTGTGGTTGTGGTGTGTGTGTGTGTGTGTGGGCGCGAGTGGGTATATTGTTTATGCCCGCATCGTGGTTTTGCATTTTCAGCAAATCTATAAAATTTTAGCACCTAAATATTGGGGTTTCGCTTTTGCGCCTTTTGCACCTTTTGTGTGTTGTTTTGTTGCTATTTATTGAGCATCGGCTTTTGTTGGCGTTGTTGTTTTATTTTAATGATATTAAATGCTAATTTTAGTTTGCCACGTCGTTGCTAGCGCGCATTAATTTAGGTTAACTAATATATATTCATGTATATATGTGATTTGTTTGAAGTGTTTAATTGAATATACACACACATACATGTACACATGTGTTTTCGTTCATACAAATGTATGTATATGCTTCCTTCATTCATTTAGGTGGACGAACCTTCCCCACCAGATGGCTGGACGGCGCTCTGTGCACTTTGGACGCTGACTTGACAAGGAAGTAGTAACGGAACTAATTAGTCAGGGCCAGGGTTATCATTTCATATATAGAAGGTTATGGTGTTTCTTTGCTCCATAGAGTACAGGTTTGTTGCGATAGAATGAGCTGCTTGAAACAACTGTAATTTTTCGTACTGTCATAATATTACAAAAGCTGTACAATTTTACACAAAACAATGTATCTAGTAACAAATGTACTTAGTTGTTGTAATCTACATTTTCTAATAGAAAAATTATTGCCCTAGTCAAGTAAAGCCAAGGTCGTTATTGTTGTAACGGCAGAATGCTGCCGAGTTGACAGTTCTTGATAGGAAAAAAAAACCCGGGTCCGTTCCGATTACGTAAACCCAACAGTCCTGGGAACAGTATGCTGCCGCCACAACAACAAAAACAAAACTCTGAGCCTACGTAGAAGCGAGAAATGCGCAACTGATTTCGAAACATTTCACACAGAGTTAGAAACTCCAATTTAGGTACCCGACAAGGGTTTGCAACAACGTAATCTTTTCAAAAAAACTTTAATATTTACTTTTAAAAATTTTAACTTATTGCAATATCACAAAAAAATCCAATAATTACAAGGCATAGTGCTGTCGGTAAACCAACATCTGAGTTCGACCGTGTTGGGGCCACGTGTTCATGATTGCTTTCCAGCCACCTTCTTGTCCTTCGGCTGCCTAATATAGGTCTTAAGGTAGAAGTTGCCGAACATCCATATCATAATCACGGCCTGTGTCACCGCAATGATTTGCCAAACCGTTGATACGGGACAGTCGCGCACCACCACCAGTGGCCAAATCTGATGGACAAAGTCAATAACGAATTGTACCAGCTGTATTTGTGTAATGTACTTTTTCCACCACAGCGACTTCTTCAGTTCCGTATTGATGGAGCTCAGCAGATAATACACGTACATGACGACGTGGACCAGTGCGTTGAGCATGCCAATTGTGCTGCCCTGGCCGCCGATACCACGCAGAACGATGTGCAGGTATATGAAGGTCGTCATCATTATGTGATGGTAGACGTGCAGGACCGTTACTTGCTTGTAGCTTTTGCGCAGTATGAAGAACAACGTCTCCAAATAATCGATGAACTTGTTGCTAATGTACAGTAGTGCGCAGAATATTTCAAACTTTTTCGCCGGGTGATCTATGCTTATCGGCCGGATGCAGGCTAGTCCACCTGACTGCGCCATATAATACGATAGCAATTTGACACTCTGTTGGAACGAAAGAAAGGGGAAATGAAGCGTAAAGCGAATTAGTCGATTAACCAGTTAATTTCATGAGTATTATGGGAGCAGTGTTCGACACTTACCAGCGCGACCATTATGCTGTTGTATATAATTTGAAATATATTGTAGACCATAAGTACGCGCTTGAGATTGTAAGGCTCGCGGTTGCGCATCAGCCAGGGTCCAAGTCGGAAGGCGAACACGACAAAGAACACGTTCACAATTACAAGGGGCCAAATAGCTCCATGAAATGGCAGTAAGTCATAGACTACGAAAGCGGAAAACAAGATTTTTCAATATTTTTATACATATTTGTAAGAAGGAGCACTAACCTTCTACAACTTCAGTGGGCTTTGTGAGTAAATCGTAAAGTCGGCTCAACATTGTTTCACTTTAAGCAAATCCGTGCTACACACAACATTCCACGTCGAGCGCTAGTTGCGAATAAAAACGTTGACATATTGCTTCCTTTGTTTTAAAACGAATCAAATGCAAGCTTTACATTTCCTTTAAAAAGTATTATCATTAATTAGAATATCATTATCATTGGCTAGAGCGAGTGCATGATTGCATATATGTCCGGCATGTGTGCAAGTCCATAGATCCATGACAAGTAAACGTTATACCTTTTACATGAATCCTTAGATATAGACACATTTTACTTGAGTCCTACTTCCTAATGAAGTCTTCAATCGCGGCCCTTGAAAGCCTGTATTTACACGTAGTTTTGGTTGCATTCCATTTCCATTTACACAATAATATTGACACGCCGCGCATAGAATTTAAGAGTTTGGAATAGTATGCACCTGCTTAAGCGAGCGCACTCTAAAACCTCACTAAAAGACTCTTCAGTTCACGAGCGCCTTTACATTTCCGCTACGAACTCCATGACGTTGTTGTAGTTAGATTTGTAACGAATGCACATACTCGTTTGTGAACAGCAAGCTTTGTTTAACTCGGGAAATGTTTCGCAGTCTGAAGTTCGGGCTAACTGCGAGCTTTTGTCATCAGCAGAAGTTCTAAGTCAACTCTGTTTAATTATCAAATTTTGTTTAGCTTTTTTTATTACCGATTTTATTTATATTAAAATGCCATCGCTAAAATGACTATATTAAATAAAATATATATAAATATTTTCTCCTTATAATTATATAACTTTAATATGTATTTTATTTTCATTACTAAAAGAAAGAAATGAAAGTAAAATCCATTAAATGCATTTGGCAAAAATGCTAGAAATAACGAAACTCCCAGTACTGAATGTTTCGAATCTCCCAACCTTAGGAGCAAACTGAATCGTCTTACTACAAAATTCTATAATTTATGTAACAGCCGAGACTTTGCCCCACAAATGTGTGGTATATTTGCTGGGAGTTGCATAAGAAAAAACACAAAGAGAAAATTGTGTATTTGAAAATTTAAATCAGACACCTCTTGGGTTAAGCTTAAAAGCGTGCACGCGTACCTACATACATATGTATATACATAACACTAGTTTAAGCAAATGCAATATGTATGTACGTACTTACCGGCTGCAGGCGGCCTTTCCAGGTGGATAGGCATATGATTGAATGTACATACTATTTCCGAGGCAGACTATTTGCTAAGCTGTGAAGGAAAATTGCCAATATGTGTGTGGTGCGATCGCTGAAGTTGCATT